CCCCCAGCCGCTGCCGACGGGCCCACGGCTCACCCACAGGCTCCCGTCCCGGCGCCAGAGACAGACGGGCCCCTCACACGGCGCCCGAGACGCGAGGCCTCGGGCCAGCGCGTTCCACTTCACAGACCTGTCCCGGGGCCGGGCGGGCAGGGGCTGCGGGCCGGGTTCGCCGGTCATTCGTTTTTGGCAGTCAGAGCAGCTCCTCGCGCCTGTTACCGCGCCCGGCACGGCGAGGCCTCCGCTGCTCCCCACCTGCAACTCCCAACGGAGCCGTGCACCCGCCCTTTGCAGCGTCAGCAGCAAAGCAGGTGCCACGACCGGGCAGGCCCTTACCTGTGTTCCCTCGAGTGCCAGGGACCCTCAGCGCACACAGGCCGAGGCCAGAATCGCACACACCGCAGCCACGCACACCGCAGCCACGCACACCGCAGCCACGCACACCGCAGCCACACACACCGCAGCCACGCAGGGCACGCGGAACGGCGCGCACGACAGGGGCGTGACGTACAGAAACTCTTGCTTGGCTGTGCTCGTGGGAGACGTAGGAAAGTCCTCCAGCCTACGGCCGCCGTCCCGGAGAGCAGGGAGACAGAAGGGAAGCAGGCGGCACCGTGAGTCAGCGCGACCAGCTGCCCCGAAGCTCCGCTCGCCCCACCTGAGATTCCCGCCAAGACCCGCTCGGCCACCGTGTGGGCCCCGTTTCCTTCGAACGACCCTGGGAGTAGGAGCCGCAGGGTAAACCCGGAGTCCTGACCCGACGGAGGCTTACACGGGGGGCTCGGCTCGGGGTCCGCTCTGGCGGGGCCCGAGACCGGCCGCCTGCCCTTTCCGAGCACGGGCCTTAGGCTCTGGCGCGCGTGGACGCCTCCGGAGGCAGAGTGCGGGGCGTCTGCCCGAGGGCTGGGCCCGCGCCCGCCCCGTCTCCCCACTCCAGCTGGCTCAGCGCTCCGGGCCCCGCCCTGACTCCCAGTCTCAGCCCTCGGCTCACAGGGGCGAAGGCCGCAGGTTCAAGGGCGCTGCGGAGGGCGACCTCGGGGCGCGTCTGCGGGCGCCGGCTCAGGAGGCCTCGCTCAGCTCCGGGGCTCCCTGGTCTTCCCGGGAAAGACTCTTAGGTGTGACCAGCTGGTCACAGCTCTCTAGCCGTCATTAACTAGTTGAAGTCTGCTGGATCTCAGATGAGCGTTTTGGGAAATTTCCTGGTTTCCCCTGGCTTTGAGGCTAACTAGCAGCCATGACCCCTGGTGACGAACTGGCCAGACTGGCTGCCGTATCGAGAGCAGACAGCCAACTCCGAGTCATCCGGACACACTTGGGGGCCCCACGACAGAGCCCGCGTGTGGCCGGGGCCCAAGGGGGCGAGGGCGGCAGGGCCGGGGCGGGCTCTGGGGGCAGAATGGCCGTCCAGCGCCGGGCACGGTGGCGCTGCCAGGGTGTTGTCCGGCCGGGCACAGGGGCAGGGGGCAGGCAGG